GGAGGGTGCGGTCGTCCAGACCCAAGGGGAGGGGGGTCCGGTTCCAAAAACTTTCAGTTTGGTCTAAAAATAAGGTATGGTGGGTTGGAGGGGTGGCCGGGCCTTTTTTTAGAACAAACGAAATAGAATGTCGTGGCGATGTGATAGACACGGTTAAACAATGCTGAATTAAGGTACAAAAAAAAAAAACAACAACAACAACAACAATGCAAAAACCGTGTACGATCAATCTTGCTCAACGTCAGATCCAAAAAGATCGTAATCAGTCAAAATAGATCAAATTGAAAACGTTACAGTCAAGAAGACTTTTGCAGGGACTGATTAAACAACGTGAAATAGACTTTAGTTGCGACATTTCGACTGGACAATACCAGTCTTCATCAGGTTTATTGAGATATCACGAATTCACAGAAATATATGTGAAGTAAAATAATGACCGGAAATTACATAATATCACGTGGTATGGTGTGGCTACTTTAAAAAGACAAGATAACAAAAAAGTAAAAGATATACTATTTAACAATTATTCCTCGAGCCCGAATATGTTAATGGGCTCCGGGTCAATAGCCCATGAGGCCGAAGGCCGAATGGGCTATTGACTCAGAGGCCATGAGGGCGAGAGGAATAATTGTTTTAATAAAATCCAACTAGTTGGTCAAAAATATCGAGAATAAAAAATTTTTAGCTAGTTAAAGCTACACTTTAATCCTTTTTTGCCGCCAAAAAGCCCGCGCTTTTCGCTACCAGTGGGCTATAACATATAGCCTAGTAGTAGCTCAACCAATCAGAACGCAGCATTGATAATAGACCACTAGTTGGATTTTACTAAATATAGTTACAGTTCATCACGTTTATTGATGCCCAGGCTTCACAACATCTCACAACTTATTTCGAGGGACGGTCACAAAATTGAGTCGTCGCATTTGGTACATCCGACGAGCTCCCTCATCCAAAATCTTTTAAAAAAATAAAAAAATTTTGGGCAATTTTGTTTTCATTTTGGTCATTTTGCATTTGTCTTCGTAAATAATAGCGCGAAGCCGGGGGTGGGGGGAAGATTTCTCTGGTCAATTCACAAAAAGTGTGTACATTGAACGCTGACTCTATTTAAGAGAAATAAAAAAAAAATTATATAATACCCCTTCAAATGCGAATTATGATTCCATGTTAAAGGAAAAACGAACAATGCAGAATTGTGTAAACCAGTCACTTTTATTTTTTTCTGGTTGCGACAAATCCGTTTCTCCTCGCTCTTCGCCACTGGGGACGTTTCGCGCGGAGGAACGTCTGCGACTCAGCGACAGAAATTCCATACTGATGACGTAAAATCTGTCCGGAATCCGGTCAGAAGCGCTGATTGGTCGACGGAGTAGTTTCATTGTTTTAGCTATTGTTTACGAATGACAGACAAAAGACAAACGGCCGCAAAGGTCAAATGTAAACGCGAAGAATCTCAAACAAAACAGCCAATATTTGTGGAATATAGTCTTCTCTTGAAGAAGCACTTGAGTTTTGCTGGAGCTCGTTGGCAGATGAACACAACGCTTTACCAACATCGACCAGAAAACACGTAAAATTGGCCTATGACTACCGGATTTATTATATAAACATTGATTTACGTCATCAGTACGGAATTTCTGTGTCTGAGTCGCAGACGACGTTCTTCCGCGCGAAACGTCCCCAGCGCGAAGAGCGGGGAGAAACGGGTGTTTTCGCAGGCTACTTACTGACTGGGATATCATTTTGCGCCTGCTTTTTGTTAATACTTTAATGGTGTAGTTCAGTATTTTTTTTTAACAAGGCAACAATGTCTTGCGATCAACATCGGCGACAAAATTAGATGATGCTTACTAATGTCAAGGACAAAGACAAACCGGAGGACAGACAGGGAGCAGTATACAAGATCAAATGCTGCGACTGCCAGGCTTCTTACATTGGTGAAACCGGCAGAAACCTAAGCACGCGACTGACCGAACACAAACGCGCGACGAGGAATGGTGACGTCAACAATCACATGGCTGAGCACCATTTAAAGACGAAACATCAAATTGACTGGGACTCTGCGACATGTATAACGTATTCTATTGACTACTATCAACGTCTTACTTTAGAAAGCTGGTTTACTAACTTAGAACAAACGCCACTGAATCGTAGCCAACAGTTACCAGCGCCTTACAAACGACTTATTGACGAGATCAAAGAAAACTAACTACGAGAGAACAACTGGAGAACTGACAATTTGACTAACCATAGACGACTGTTTAACTGTGACAATAGACGGATCGAAACGCACCAATTACTGATTACGAGTCTTCATAGCCAATAACATCACGGCTTAACTGACAGACGACCAATAACATCGCGACATAATTGACCAATCAGATCAATAACCAGAGTATAATACCATCAACTGACGTGACACAACTCACTTTGACTCTGAAGATGACTACCGCACAGGTTGTCGAAACGTCAGTCACTGTCAACAACAACAGTCCTATTCAGGACTACGTTCACCCGGACGATCAAACTCAACCTACTGAAATGACTCCTGGGTTCAAACCTTTCACAAAATTAGATGAGACACTAAGTAAATTAGAGACCCAGTCACGTAATGGTCGCCAGTTATAAAGTCTGCATAATCGGTGCTGATGTTTCTTCCATCGCAATCTACAAAATAATAACAAGTCAAAAGGGAAAAATCACTACAAAAACAACAACAAAGAAAAAACAAGGGGGAAAATGTATAAAGAAGTAGTGCGTTTACGATCTTGAGCAGGCTAGAGACCCAACAAAGACCATATTCAGTGGGTCTGTATCATGGTCTTTTTTTGCAGTTGAGATGCCACAATGACCTTAAGATAAAATCGAGGTGCGTGTAACGTCTCCGTCGGAAAAGTAATTCAGTGCAAGGGTGCTTACCACTAACCCAAAAGAAAAATTTTGATTAATTACCGTTTATCAATCTTTCGGTTCCAGACTTCCAGACGCTCCTAACAGAAATGGCAATTGAGCGAAACTGACTGGTAAATCGCTTAACGTTATGCTTTGCACACCTTAACCGGGTTTATCTGTCACATGATAAGCACCCCCAAATCACCCGCACATGTAGTTGAGGAAAGGAGTCAGATAAAATAAGGGGAAAAGTTCAGTTCCCTGCCACGAAAAAATGTTCTCCAGCCAACACATGACAACTTTAGAGGATGAAAATATGAATTACCCAGCAATAACTTTCTCAAGGCATTTACGACGTCTGTCCGTTGCATCCTTTTCAGCGCTTCGATAAACCTCTTGACTGTGAGGTCTGAATCAACTTGAACAATGTATTCCATTAAAGTTCTGGTTGGACTTGGGTTTCCTCTTGGCTTTAAACTGTCACAGTCTTCTTTGGGAACACCAAGCTTGCAAGCAAAATGCAACCAGTTTTTCATTCCTGGTGTTTCACAATCCAACAAGGTGGCTAGTTCTTCCAAACAATCGAGATTATTGCGAAGAGTTTTTATTGTGCCACCCTCTGTATTACAAAAAAAGCATAAAAAAGCAAAGAAGAAACCTGCTGATTAAAAAACTAAAAAAGTAAATTTTTTGAAGGACCTTTTTATGAAGGCAAGAAGAAGTGAAGGCTCCAAGAAACAAGGTTCTTACTTTAAGTTCATTAGACCTCATGAATATTGATATAACCTGTAGATAACAAGTCCAAATGCGTTAATTTAAGAATTGTGAATCACTGCAACGCTCATCATATAATGTACATACGGATAGGTATTGATCAGGTTACTATGGGTTACGTTATGTAACCTCAACATATATTGTAGGTTTTAAAAGGAAGTACCAAATAGCTCATTAGTCAGCTACAACTTTAAACCAAGAATGTATAGTGTGCGCAGAGGGTACCAATAAGGATTCTTTTATATTATATCATTTGTATTAACCAACACCGCGGCAAAACGCATTGCGCATAAGCACAAAATTTAACACCCGGTCAGATTTTTATTTCCGGTCTAGTAAATAAACCAATTGCGTAAGCATAACATTGCCGTAGCGCCAAGTTTAAAAGCAAAACGGCAGAAACAGACAAAAAAAGAGGACGAAAAAAATCACTTCCATAGCTGATATATTTTTCTAGTGTCAAACTTTTCCACCACATGGTTACCTGTTTGCACCAACGCTGAAAATGATGTTTGAAGTTTGTAGGTCGCGAGCGCTCGACAGGACGAATTTGTTTTTACTGGCTTTCTTGTATGCTACCGGTTTGGCATTAGTTAAATTTGGGAGAAGGCGATAACTAAGCAAAGAATAGTAATACTTATTAAAGAAACCACGTCATTATTATAATTAACACTAGAAACAGGAAATAAAAGTTTAGTGACCGGAAATGCCGCGGTGTTGTATTGACCATCCTTGTCTTACATAGCATTTAAATTTGCCTGAATGTCAAAAACAAAACAGGTGTGTAATTTAAGATAAAATCTTACTTTTATAACTGAAAATGAGAATTTGTTTGCTGACGAAAAGTTATTCAGAATCTTTTAGAAATTTGTACCTGGCAGATATTTGTCCAGCACATTGCACACATCTTCTCTCAGCATTTCCTTCAAGGCATCTCGCATTTCCTTCACAGTCACATGGGGCTTTCTGTTTTCGATGATCTCAAGGACTGCCTTCGCACAGCTGGTGGAAGTGGCGATTTGCTGCAGTGTTTGATCTGGAATCTTGATGTTCAGCCCTAAAGCTCTCCAGTTATTGCAGTAGTCCAACTGTAAACAAATGGTCTCAAAAGTGGAATGATGTTTATGACGGAGGACCCCTAATGACGCAGTTTCTGTAAGGACAAGACATTTGCTACTTTGTAGAAATTTAACAAAGACATTTAAATGTAGCTTGGTCTAACTGAGCCCTAGAACATCTGTATATTTCCTCTTACAGTTGTTTTTGTTGCCATGTCGGTCGTGACATAAAGGTAAAGGTACAGCTCTTTATTTTACATCGGTAACTCGTAACAGTACTTTAACCAACAAACCTGAAGTAGACGGTGCGGTCATTTTACCCCCTTTCTCTTCAGTAGTGCTCCGTTTTACAGTTATATAAAGCTACTTGAAGGTACAAGGCAAGGAAAGAAGTCGAAACAAGGATTTGAGAACACACAGAAGGCCGCGTACCAACCGACTCTTTGCTAATCCTTGCTCCTAAGAAACATTTCGCCGAATTGAATAAAAATGAACATTTTCTTAGCGATGGCTTTAAACCTTTCATTCTACCCTCATTTACGAAAAACATTTCATGTCTGGGCTTCGCGCTTTGTAAGGAATCTTGTCTATAACACTGATATGTTAGTCACTTCACTGCCTCTAAATTTATGTTATCTTTTGTTGTTATTCCAATGTGCTTGTTTCAAAGCGTAATTTAGAGAGTTTCCCTTTGCAATTATAACAAGCCTTTCCACTCTCCACGATGTTAATCGTTAACTGAACCCATCTGATAAAGAGTGTATTATTTCTCAGCTTTAAAATTACAGTGGATATAGAGCTGAGAGAAACTTTTAAACCTATTAAGTAATTTTAAAAACTCACCTGCTAGATCACATTGCTTCATTTTTTTGACCAGATCATTTCTCGAGATGAAGCTAAGCCCATCTTTAAGCTCTTTAACTCAGAAGTTAGGGTTGCCTGCTTCCAGGAACTCAAACATGTGTTTACTAGGACTACTCTGAGGATTGGTCTGGCACCTCGTTTCAACGTCTTCCGGCACCCTGAATTCTGCAGCGAGATGCTTCCAGTGCTGGACAATGGGCGGCTCTTGCTCCCCGCGGTAGATTGGTTGATCCAATCTGCGAGCAAGCTCATCCATAATACGAACGTTTGTTAAGATCTTTTCCTTCACAAGGGAATCTGTAGTATCATTGCGTAAAAGGTTTTGATGTATCAGATTTACTATAGTTATCAAGCATTGCAGATATGACAAAAAATAACGAACAGGTTAGCAGCCATGAACCTTGCACAGTGTTAAACAATACGTTTAAGACTACAAAAGAGATATTTACCTCCCAAAACAAGTACAAATTTCGCATTAGCATCCTCCATCTGCAGGCAAAAGGAAGAGATTGAAGAGTACTGAGTAAGTGCTTGAATGACCTTTAGACATATATTGATATCCCAGCCATTCAGAGGACTAGAACGCCCCTACTTCTGACATTCAACGAAGAGTCATTTTGTTCTGGGAGACAGAGTTTTTAAATTCAAATTCACTTACCTCACTTACCATTTTTTTCACCGAAATGGTCGGAAAGACGTTTTTAGGCTTGATGGATTTATCATGTTTTTTGCTGGTGAAAGGGCTTCGCTATACAGGTATCGACTATATAGCCCACTAGTAGCGAAAAGAATAGGATTTGAAAACCAAAACAATGGCGGCTGAAATGCGTTTTGCTAGCTAAAGTTGTTTTGTCTCGGCATTTTTGACCAACTAGTTGGATTTAACTAAAACAATTATTCCTCTCGCCCTCATGGACTCTGAGTCAATAGCGGATGAGGCCTTCGGCCTCATGGGCTATTGACTCAGAGCCCATTCGGGCTCGAGGAATAATTGTTAAATATTTTGTTTTGTCGATTGATCGATTATGCATATAGGGGTACCTGTTTCCCTGCGAATTCAAACCAATGTGAAAACGGCTTCATTGGAACCACTCTACTTATAGCAAAAGCGCTCCTCGTGCAAATTTGCTTTTTTTGCAAAGCGGACTCTGACCAGAAGTGAAGACACTCCTCTTTCTCACAACTGCTTTTTTGATGTTTTCTACAGTGGAGGACTGCACGTTGCTTGCAACAAACTGGACAGGTGACACTGAATTCGTATTCCATAGCCCTCAACCAAAAGCATTCTTCACGTATGGTCAGAAGCACTGATTCAAGCTGGCGTCGTACTTTGTAGCCAATGGTCGTGTCGCTTGCAATACCAGGATCTCTGTGAACTACGACTTCGATACAAGATAAAAGACAGTGAAGGATAACTGAGCAGCCCTTGGGAAGGATGGGAAATCGGGCGAAGTTCTGATACATATCCTGGTACAATGGGCTGATCTCATTCTCGATGCTCCACTGGAGGAACTTTACTATAAGTCTTGGGAACAATCCAAGAGGCACTTGAAGATTTTTACAGTCAGCCTCATCACCTGGGTATCTCTGAGAACGTGGCTGGTTAAATCGTATGAAAAGAGGGGGAATGAAGGCTTCGGAGAGGAGCTTGATGGAAACTTGATTTGGATGGGACATTAGCATGGATGGTACAAGAAATTGCTTCTGGTTGTCTACCGACGGCAAACTGCACACCAGGCTAAACTTTTCCATAAGAGCAATGAGGCTTTGGGCCTTTTCTTTTTTGAGAAAGGATCCCCACACGATCTGGAGGAGTCTATCATCCAGGATTCCATCAGTCTCAAGTTTTGCCCACAGTTCTTCCAAGTAATGTTCATCAGCCGCAGGATCATAAGGTTTGACGGTAATTACTTTCCGAAACAGATCAATCAACCATTGCGGGTCTAATATCACCATGTCCATCAACTCTGGCGTGTCATCAAAGTGCAAAAAAAGTCTCTGATCGTGTAGAAAGTTTAGCAAGGTAAAAAATTGTTGGTCATCATCAATTCCACATTTATCACGCGCTACCCTTCTTGCCTCCTCAAGGGAGATAAATGGCTGGCCTTTCGTCTTCTTGTCATTGAGGGCCTCTTCAAAACGTAACCATTTGAGTGGAATTTTCTGCCTCAGTTGTGGAAGCTCAGTAACAACTGCAAGTAATTCGTTTCTTAAACGTTGGACTTCTGGGCACTCGTCTGTTGTCCCTGATCTCGTGTTATCTACAAAAAAGTACTTTTTATACAAGTGTTCACCGTAGGGCTTTGTATCAGAACGAAGAGTGCCATATATTTTGCGCGCTCGATCTTTCGCGACCTTTCCACATTGATCTGCGTGTGTGCACACTAAAATAACTGGAGGTAACCTTTTTGGTAGCTTCTCTGAGCCCTTACTGCTTAAGTCAATCATTCCCAGAGAGGCGACAGAGGACAACCAAACGCGGAGATAATCTTCATTCGTTTTAGTACAGTAAAGGTCTTCTTTCCTATCAAACACGCCTTCCTTTAAAAGTGGAGTGGCTATCTCCGTTGGGTCTTTTCTGAGATCATACGCCAAAAGATAAATTGCTTTTGTAGTGAGAAATATTGGGTGAGTAGCATAGTATACTGACTGTCCACCAAAATCCCACAAGATTGAGTAAACCTGGTCATCTTTTGTTGTTTTAGATTCTTTGAGCAGCTTTTCGACACGTTCTGCCGTTGTGTGTGGTACTTCTTGTTGAAACGATTTTACCTCGATTTTTTTCACACGAACTCCAGGTAGCAGACTCCCGATCTTTGTTGTGGTCTTTTCTGTCTGCGTTTGGGCCTCGTTCCCCTCCTTCTCTAACGTTGTAACATGAATGGCCTCTTTACTTTTTGAACCCTTTTCCGCTACAGTGACTGTTGAAATGGTGTTCACCACACTTTGTGCAGCTGTTATTTGCTCAACTTCGTCTCCTCTTAAATGAGCCACCATAACCTGTGCTACTCTGTTATGAACAGAAATAGCGGAATTGGAATCTGGCTCTTCTTTCGTTTCCCCTGTACGCCAATTCTCTGTTGTTATGCTGAAGTATGACGGATCAAGCTCGATCCCATCAGTGCTCTCTTCTTTGCTATTGAATATTTGTCCTTTTAAAGACTTCTTTAAACTGGTCTTTCCTGATCGTTCTTGTCCAATGATCATGATGGGCACTCTCATTACGCGTGTCATACCTTGTTCAATTGCCTTGTTGTAAGCTTTGACAGCAAGGGGACCTCTAGCAAGAATCTCTGCCGGAACTAAAGGAATCAGAACACCTTGTTAGTTAGATAATACTGTTACTTAAAGTAAATTACTACTGACAGTTCATCTCTGTCGCATAGTATTAATAATGAGTTTTATTGTAAGATTTTATACTACTCGTAGTTTATGGAACAGGCACAGCTTATATTGTCGCTGAACTCGTCAAGGAAAAACGTTGATTAAGATTTTTTTGTAATGGGGTATAGAAAAGAAATGACGCAAGGAACAAAAAATATTTCACCACAAAAACTGATTACCTACCATTTCCCGTCATCATTTTCTCCACTAGCTTGTTGCATTGGTCCTCCCAACTATATTTTTGCATGTACTCCTCTCGAAGTTGTCGTGTCTCAAGGGAGGTGCTTTCACGACCCTTTGCCCTGATCTCCTTCATCTTTTGTGCCCATACTTGAGGGTCATCAGAGTCCACCACTTGCTTCCCACCGGAGGGCAGCTTCCTCAGTGCAACGCCTAGTCCAGAATATACGCTTATAAGGACTGGAAGGCCTGCAGAGATGGCGTATATACCACTCATTCCGAAACCCTCTACTCTTGAACGTAAAAGGAGCAGATCGGCTTCATTAAGAAACTGGGCCATTTGAACAGGATCGTCACCATTAGTTGTTTTCACGGTGAACTGATTCTGTTGCATACCTTCAGAAAGCAAGGTTTGTGTGAGCTCCGAAACACCATAGGAGGACTTCATAACAACCATAAGGTGATATGAAATGTCTTGCAACAATAGGAGGGCTTTCACAGCAATGTCACATCCTTTAACACGAAAATAACTAGATAAATAAGGATAATCTGTAACAATAAGCAGGTTGAATGTATCTTGATTTTCACTGACTCTATTATCAGGATGTAATTCAGAGAAAATTCCTGGGGTAATACTGACGAAGTTCAAGTCTTTTCCGTAGGGCTGCAGGGCGTTTAAGAAGGGTTCAGCTACTTTGGGACCAATTGTGACTACAAAATCAGCATTTTTACACAGTTCTATCTGCCTTTGACATTCTTCATGATGATTATTTGCACGTCCAGCTAATGAAACTCCTGCTACTTCAAAGAACCTCGTAAGTTCTACCCAGTCCCTGTGCACAACTGGAATCCATTTGCATTTCTTGGTTCTACAAATTTCTTCTGCCTGTTTTTCTAGATCACGCCCATAACAATGCATGATTAGAAAGTCGAAATGCTGAAGTTCCTCATGTGAGTAATCCAGCAGCTCTATTGGAGAGTACCCAGGAAGGGTTTCGTTCTCGAGAATTTCAACATTTTCCGCGATCTCAGCCCTCCTTGGGTGATCTTTGGGGACAAATGCTCTGACGCGGAGTCCTCTGTTGCTAGATAAGTGACGTGCCAAAACTCGATTGGAAGTTATGTTCCAGCCTCCTTAATCTGAAGCCATTATAACTTCAAGTTTCTTTTCATCTTGCAAAGAGCCGAACGATAGTGATCTTTCTGGAATGAAAGAAAGTGGGACAGTCAAAATAGTTAACTTTTAATTCAGTTTATTACACGTTTGTTTCCGTGAGAGGGCAAGATGACGTAATTAATGGCTGTGTTCTGATTATCTACCGGAGAGGAAACGATGGACCTCTTTTGATCGAAAGTACTAGCTGTTTAAAATTACTTTGAATAACAGCACTTTGCAAGTAGTGGAAGCCGCGGAAGGGTTCTTGCTCTCGAAACGCAGTTTCACGGTTTTGGAAGCCATCTTAACGAGTAGGCAAGGAAGTGAGAAATTACAGTGTTACAGAATAAGAAGAATAATTAACAATAAGAAGAATAATTTCCGTAAAACGGCTGTTCTAAAAAAAAAAAATGAATTGTAAACTAAAGCTAAGCAGCAAAGGATAATACTAACAACTTTTTGGGGGCGTACCTGTGCTTATAAATTAAGACTGATTTAACTAATTAAAAACTAGTTAAAAACTGGCCACAGGCTAGCTCATCGTAACTGGTCTTTTAAGGGATGGTTTTAACTAGCGACGGAGTCGTAATCAGAAGCGTAGAGCGTTATGATCACGTGAAAACTGCGTTCCGATACTGTTTACTATTCTATCGCTTACGTCCCGCCTATGATCTAGTAAAAACCGTTTTGTCGGAGTCGGAAGCAGAAGAAGCAGAAGTAAACCTATCACAAAGCTTTGGAACGGAACGTGCATTGTGATTGGTTCATCCTCCCGCTGCCGCTATTTATACTTAAAAATGTTCTCGAGGGAGTTAATTGTAGCACTTCTGTAACACTATAACTTGCGCGGAATGCTAAACAAGTAGAACTTCATGCGAGTGAATAAATGACATCACAGCACCTAACAACAGACACTTAAATATAAAACTAATGAAAGGTCTATTTTACAATGATAAGTTCACATCACAACTTTGAGAAGGTTTTACTTCATTTCTGTTGATTAATAAATGGGTATTCTCAACCCATGGTAATTTGTAAAGAATTCAATTTCAGCCCGCAAAAGAGGTCGCTGTGTAAAAGAACTTATTATGAATGGCCAAAATTCAAAGTTAGCTATTAAGAAGGGACGCGCCATGTGGAACATTTGCTGTTTCAAATAGGTAGCTTCGAAACTGTTTTCATATCCCCGAGAAGCAAACGTTGCCCGATAATTGTTCTTACCGGGTATTTCATTAACTGCTCTTTAGGGCCAGTTTACATGGAGTTGGGGACCCCAGATAGGTGAGGTAACATGTGGCGGGTCACCCCACCTATCATGTAAAAGTGATCAAATTAAAATATTAAAGATATTATATGGACAGGCGGGTTACCTCACCTACCTGGAGTCCCCTAACACTGGACGAAAAAACGGATTTGCCTAAGTTTGCCAGTTGAGCAAATCTATTGTAAAATTAGGGTACTAATGTTGCTACGTATTTGTTCTTGGTTCAAATTTTGTTCAAAAGTGAAAGTTTACTTTTTTGCAAGGGTGGTGTAAATGTGGAGTAAATATCAAGTTTACACATATTTTGTTTCACTTTTGCTCCCAATAGTAAATTTGGTGTTTAGATTCAAATTTGCCGCCATTTTGTTCTCTGTGTAAAAGTCGAACGTCAAAAATGAATGTTTGCTTGATATTTTCTGGCATAGCAAAGTTACTGTGTAAATGTATGGTTACTAAAGGCGTAAAATTAAGCAAAATATGATCAACGAACTATCTTTACGACCACTTTAGCCAACTTTTGCACATTCACCAAACTTCACATTGTTATTTCACACAAGTTTTGATTTTCCATTGCCCCGTTTCAATCACCATCACATTCTTTTCAAAGTTTATCATATTATTTGCTGCAGCTGGTTATTTCGGGTAAGGCACCCATTTTTTTTCGTTTAGCGTCGAATGCGTTTCCTGATATTGGGTCGGTGGCTCGGATTGAAAACAAAATATCACAATAAGTCTCGGAATAGGAGACCCTGGTACCCCCGGATGACGTTAAACTTTAACATCTACAATTTGGGTGAACAAAACGCACAATATGTGAAAGGTTTGAACCCAGGAGTCATTGATCGTCCGGGTGCAAGTGGTCCTGAATGCACTTTTCTCCATCGCACCTTTCTGTTCGAAACGAAAAGTTGAAGCAAGATCAGCCGCCATGTTTGTTGTTTCCCAGGCTTCCACGTGACTTTAGCACATGCTCCATTTGATTTACATTGTCACATGCGGCTTTTGAACCAATAGAATAGTGTAAAATGAACTACCGTTGAATAGTTCAAATTCACGCGGACTTCATAAGCAACACAGCGTTGCAAACGGAGTAGTTTTGTTATTTTCGGATAATAGAAAGCCTGTCTTTCTATTCAGCTGTTCTATTACGATTTATACCCATGTTATTTTCGAGAAAAAATGATCAGTTGCGATATTCTTCACATAAAGCCTGTTTCCAAGTCCTCAACTCAGCTGGATTGCAGAAAGGTATGTTCTTCTTGATATCGTGGTTCGTTTTCTAATAACTTTGCGTGAGCTTAAAACCTCAAAGATAAATCTTAAAATTTAAGATGCATGCACAGATATGTCATTGATTGATTCCTTTTTGTTTACTGCAGAAATAACTGTACTCTTTGTTGCGCATCGTCTTCATTAATAGAATAATCTTAAGTAGCCAGATCTTGAGCTGTGCAGGCAAACATTTCTTTTACACCAAGTCGGTGATGTGACCTTTGCATGTCCATAATTCTGTAGTTTGGCTTGTTGTACAGCTGAGTTAATATGCTAGATCTTTTGGGTTACTGTACTTTTCAGGGGACAGCACTTGAAGAAGCAGTGGTCACTACTTTATTATTTAATATTATACTACATTTCAAATGACAAATGATTTTCCTTTTGAAATTTTTACAGTAAAAAACTCTTGTTTTACATCTATACATAATTATGGTTCAGTGATATTGTGAAATCTTAATTTTGGTTCATTTTGCGAGTGACGGCACAAGCTTGCCAGATCTTGAAGCATGTGTCATTCTCAGTGACCACTGTATTATTGTTCCACATTTAAATGACAAGTTGTTCTTCTTTCATAAATTGTACCATCCAAAACTCTTATGGTTTATACATAATGTTCAGTGATATTGTGAGATCTTAATTTTGGTTCATTTTGCGAGTGACGGCACAAGTCTGCGAGATCTTGAAGCACATGTGTCATTCTGAGTGACCACCGTATTATTGTTCCACATTTAAATGACAAGTGATTCTTCCTTCATAAATTGTACCATCCAAAACTCTTATGGTTTATACATATGGTTCAGTGATATGGTGAGATCTTAATTTTGGTTCATTTTGTGAGTGACGGCGCAAGTTTGCCAGATCTTGAAGCCTATGTGTCATTCTGAGTGACCACCACATTATTGTTCCACATTTAAATGACCAGTGATTCTTCTTTCATAAATTGTACCATCCAAAACTCTTATGGTTTATACATATGGTTCAGTGATATTGTGAGATCTTAATTTTGCTTCATTTTGCCAGTGATGGCACTTGCCAGATCTTGAAGCCTATGTGTCATTCCGAGTGACCACCGTATTATTGTTCCACATTTAAATGACAAGTGATTCTTCTTTCATAAATTGTACCATCCAAAACTCTTATGGTTTATAAATATGGTTCAGTGATATTGTGAGATCTTAATTTTGGTTGATTTGCGAGTGACGTCACTTGCCAGATCTTGAAGCATAAGTGTCATTCCTAGTGACCACTGTATTATTTTTCCACATTTTAAATGACAATACCTCATTATTTATACCTTTTTTTACAGCTCAATGATGTTGAGGGATCTTTGTTAGTTCATTTTGCGAGTAAATGCTTTTGCTTTATCATGCCAAATAACCACAATTAATTAATTATTGTTCTAAGCAACATGTGGGTTGCCGTAATGACGTTTCTCAGGTTCTGAACGGTTTTACGGTTTATGTGTATGGTAGGCTCGATTTCCGCCGTCTCCCGGGTCCGGTCTTTGATCCTCCCTGAAGAGAGACGGCTGGACACGTGACCCGTTGAACTTGTCTGTGATGTAGTTGGAAAATTGATAATTTAGGCGTCTCCGATGTCACTGGAAGTGAAACCGGTCTCCAATTTTCTTATTTGTTTGACTCAAAATTGCATCAAGCGCTCCCTTACCCACCCAAATGACTTTCAAAATAGCTTTTTCGGTACATTTCCATGCATTGTGAAAAATAATCTTCGGTACATTTCTGTACACTCCAACATGCAGTTATTTTTCTTTGATCTTCGAATATTGGTTTCGTCTTCTGTGGGTCCAAACAGACTGATTCTTGGAAGCAGACCAAATTAAATAGTAAAGTTTCTGATTTACCAGACAGAATTTCCAGCGTATTGAATGTTCCTCTGTCTAATATAAAAATGTGGACGGTTACATCTGCAATGAACACAGTTATTGAGACCTAAAGCACCTTGAAAAGATTCTTGAAGATGCAAAATTTCTCCAATGACAATCATTAAAAGAAAAGTTCACAACAAACAATCGAACAAAACGTTGTGTTCCTTCTGACTCTAGAATTTCGCCTAGTGTCTCCGGGCCGTCGAAATCGCTTCACCATGTGCGATGGTTCAAGGGAGGACTTTCTGTTTTGATGTGTCAATTTCTGCGACAGTCTTTACCAGACAAAAATCTGCAGGCGTTAACATGATTGGCTTAAACCAACAAAGGAAATCGCACACGTCCAGCCGCTCTTTTGAGGGATGAGTTCAGGCTCATTTTCCCGAACAGCGGCTGGTAATCGAGCCTCCATGTGTACAGTTGAGTCATGGCTGTGCTCTGTAAGAGCCTGGTGACCTGTGGGACACTATCAGTTCTGCTCTTGAATGACAGGGGAATTAATTTATTTCAGTTTCTATTGACAGTTATTCAGATTCATCAGAAAGAGGCATTTCTGCTTTCTACTTTAACATCTGTTCCAAAAAAATATATGTTTAATGAAAAAGTTAGTAGGAATAAAATGCAGGGAGACATTTCTCACAAATCTCCTCAAACTGTTCCTTTGATCAAGAGAGTGTTTTCAGCTTTTAGCATTGTGTCATTGTTCTGCAACCCAATCATTTACGCTCAGTATGAGCAGTACATGCTTGTTTACCAACTGTGGGTTATTTGTTGGCTGCTAAATCATGGTTCTTCATTTTTCTTTCAGAAAAAAAATTAGAGGGCCAATATACTCTGACAGAGTCAACTAGCATCTGTTAGTCAGACAAGGACAAGTACCTTGCATGTATGTCCGTTGCATTTATGTCATCAGAGGAGTCTTTGTCTGAAACAGCTGTATCAGAATGGCATGAAGGTAATTCTTCAGGTTCAGATGAGGACCTCCCAAACAGGGAAAATCTCTGTGTAAGGCCACTTTCCTGACAGAGCATTGAGGTTAATGGTTTAATGACCCGGTTGGGCCGCAAAGTTGCATGGTGTCAAAGCCAATGAAGTGAAAATAATGGTAATAGAGCACACAGTGAGACCAGCATCAAACCAAGGAGCACCAGGTGGTGCTCCTGAGTTTGCTCTGGCACCCACCCCTTACAATAGAAAAAGGAACTTGATCATATATAAGCATAACACAGATAATTTTTTGAAGAACATTCAGAAAGGAAGAAGGCATTTTAGATAATAATGTACAAAATAATAATAACACTCAAGTTGAAGTTGACATGCATCATGATTCAGTTCCTTTTCAGTTAAGTTCCTGTAACCATATTTTCTCAGTAGACAATTGCACAATTTTTTGGGTTTTGATGAAGACCTACAATGTAGTAAGTGAATATCCTTTGACACCCATGGAAAGAAGCCACATTAGAACTAGGTAAATTACCAATTAATCTCAAAGTGATTTGTCACAATCCAATGAAGATATTACCTGTGTTGCAGACACTCTAAACCTTCTGCATAGAGCATGACGTCTGAGAATATAGTGCACAATATCATGGTTGAATCCCATAGAGTCAGAAAGACATACATGTATGTCAGCGTTTTGTGATTGGCTAGGTTCTTATGCTGTTTGTGATTAGTCCGATTTGAAATAAAGTGTTGACACAAAGTCACATAATCTCAATGACCTTTGTAAGGTACGGCGGAGCCAGAAACTTTCCCTTACCAGACAAATGTCTGCAAAATTTGCCATCTTTGTAGAGCTGTCTTTGGTAGTTTGCACCGAATCACTCTGTAACTTGGCAACTTTACTGAATTTTAAAAACCTTCTTTCTAGCAGCCTGTAAATGAAGCTGTATTTTCAGTCGTTGTGTCCATTCACCCAACATATGTAATTGGAGATACATCTGCATCCACAGTGACAGATCCGCAGTGGTGACAGATCCTAGGGCTACCCTAAGCACTGCCTTAAAAAGTGCCACTCCGAGGACTAAATCTAGCCAATACACACCGTGGTAGAGTAATTACCGACTCCAAATGCCGTGATCCTATTTTCTTCTTTGCATATTATTTTTATGAAAAAAAGTGAAGTTATGTTTTATGCAAAAAAAATACCGTGTATGATAACAGTTGTTTGATAAGCATGTAAGGCTGTGCTCTAAGGAAAATTGAAGGGAGCCCAGTGCTCTGAAACAGTAAAATCTAGGGTGCCCAGCATATGATTTGTATGAAAAATCTGAGATTTTCTAGTTGCCCGGGGGCACCGGGCTCTGCTAGAGCACAGCCCTGGCATGGCTTAAATTTTAATCATCTGCATACCAATAATAATAATGATGATGATGATGAATTAAAGAAGTTCTACAGAGTTTTCATAGTGTATAGATTGTGTTTGGACAATATTTGGATATTTAATCTGTCCAATACTGCAAGCAAAACAGCTGATCATGTGAATCAGAAAATAATTCTCAAATTTTTAGCAAATAATTTGATTTTAGTAAAAAATAAATAAATCATATTATTTACACTGATATAATAATAATAATAATAATAATAATAATAATAATAATAATAATAATAATAATAATAATAATAATATAAGTATTTAACCAAATCAGTGGATAGCAGATTTGCTTCCATAACTTGAAAAGCTTTTGGCTACCTATAGGATGAGAGTAAAACTGGGGTGTCATTTCATGCTAGTTTTAGAAGTATAGCAGTAAATGAAGCACCTGTAAGATAAAATACATGTACATGCTAAAAAGGTGACAAAATGAATAAACTGCTGGGTGAAAATATATCGAAGTTGTACCCAAATCATAGAAATGCACAGAGCGTTCGCATAGTAAGACATTTTATTTACAAGAAATATTTTTATATAACTGATTTTGTTAAAAATGAATCATACAGATGTATCTCACCTTGGGGTCAGTGAATAGCACTAGATACACTATATAATATTATTCATCCTAGTATTTTGGGTACTGGATAATATTTATCAGATGAAAACAAGTTGTTATAACTAATTATTAGAGGAATATCGCTTATCATAATAATTTGAGGCTAATTTTATTTCCTGTGGTTGATGTTCTGTCCATTAGTAAGGATGTCACACCTACATTGTGAGTGATGTGTACGTGTTATCGTACGACCATTTGCCAATAGTATCAATTGAATCTAGAAAAAGTATATTTGAAGCATACCACTCAAACAGAGTTACGTTTTACCTGTACCAACCTTAGATAATTATGAACCAGCTAGTGTTGACTTGTACTTTCAAACCCAATGTATATTCTTATACGCGTATGAATTTAGTTAGTTTCACATTGTATGTGCTTTTTATTTAAAGGCATATATTTTGTGGTACATGCAGTACCCTGCAGAGGCCAATGGAACTTTCTTTTTATTTATCTTACTTTTTATTGTATAGTGTATATTAAAGATAGTAAAGTCATTTTATTCTTGAAATTTTGGTTGGTGTCTAAATTGTTTGTCAGTCATTTATGGTACCAAATAAAAATAGGAAACATGTGGATAATGATGTTTTGATCAAATTTGCTATCTTGAGCGAAAGTGTAAAAAAGTGATATTTTAATCAACTTTGTTTACCTGACTTAAAGTATGGAAAACTGCTATCATGGCAATATTTGCCATCCTGAGCACAGATACAGAAGAAATGATATTTGACCAACTTTGCTACAATGGGGAAAAGTATGGGAAACTACTTTTTTGATCATATCTGCCATCCTGAGCAAAATTGAGAATAAAGTGGTATTTGGCCAAATTTGCTGCCCTGAGCAAAACAGTGGCAAACGACTATTTTGATCATATTTGCCACACTGAGCAAAGATATGGAAGAAGTAATAATTTGACCTCATTTACTACACTGAGCGAAACAGAAATAAGGTGAATTTTTGCTCAGATTTACTATCCTGGGCAAAACTGTTGAAAAATGAGTTTTGGTCACTTTTGCTACATTGAGCAAAAATGTGGGAAATTACTACTTTGACCAAATTTGCTATAGAGAGCAAAAGTGTTCAAAAATTCATCTTCGATCGCTTTTGCCCATTTGGGCAAAAACCTGACAAATGCCAGTTTTGCTATCAAGTTTGACACCCCTGTAAATGCCTTGATAAAGTAAAGGTTATCCTTGTTTTTACACACGGGGCAAATTTGAGGCAAATGCGGCATTTACCACCTTTGCGTCATGAGGCAAAATTGAGCAAAATTAAGCAAATGTGGCATTTGCAGATGGTTTGCTCCAAATTTGCTATAGAGGTAAATCCGTTTTTTCGTCCATTATAATCGCAATCTATAGGCGAACCTTTGCTGACGTCATTCAGTTTACATTTTTCTCATAAGCATTGGACTTCACTTATAGAAGCCGTCTCCGCATATATGACCTTAATTCAAAAGTTGAAAGATAGAGCTGATTAACTTGAGCATTTTCTGCAAGTTTCAGCTCTTTGCAAGCGATATTGAAGGAAATATCTGCGAAAAATTGGTGGGTGGCAAAAAAGTTAAGGAGCCATACATTCTCTGTAAAAAAGGAATTTCGCCGAAACCATTCGGTATATCTAATTCAGATTTTCAAAGATAACTGAAATTGTTATGCCCTTTCAACACTCAGAGATTTTATTTTATGATTATATGTAAATGAGGCAAAAAATGTAAACAAAGATTCGCCTATAATTCGATTGATACCGATGGTTAGCTCAATTGGAAGTTCCCAACGGTAGACATCGCATTTGGGTAGACTGTTGTTTACATTCAAACTCCAAATTATTTTTAAATCATGGTGTGCCACACTATGATTTAAACCTCATTGGGAATTAGTGCATTGTTGACGGATGTTTTCGTGATATTGGACAAGTAATTATATAGTTATAAATGGGTCAATCACGCAGTTCGAAAATATGAAGCTTCATTGTTTGACTCAGAAATACGTTTTCCAAGGTTTGAAAGTCTAAGTCTAAATTCCTTTTTCAAAACGTAATATTATATACATAGTTACTCGAGAAGTAGTTACAATTTAGTTTCCTTTGAGACGCTGCCATAAAATATGTAAATAAATCTTAGGTAAGACTGAAATCAAAGTTATTGATTCAAGAAAGAACGACTCTTCAAAACTAACAAAAAACTCAAAAATTACAAAGAAGCTCGCCAATGTTAAAAGTGCACTAATCTGAGCAAGTTTCCCTTACTACAATAGAAAACGTGGTCATTTGAACGCAG